ATCTGCATAGTCGTCTTACATTTACTTTACCAGCTGATAGAGCTCAATTTTAGTTAATGACTTCATATGTATATCTGTAAGGGCTGAAGGGATAATTAACCAAGTCTCTGACGTCGATATAGGAATGGGGCGGGGCAAGTTTAGAATAATCCCCACCCCCTAAAACGATCGGCAGCACCTGATGCATCAGACGTCTAAAAAACTTTTCCGTGATATAATCTACACAAAATCCGCATGCAGAATCCATACCTATCTACCCGAATGTACTGTCATCGACACAATTTCCCGCCATCCATGCAATTCCCGCGGTTTTTGTTGACGACACATCTCCCACGTTATACTCCGTTTCGCGCTCGATAACTCTTCCATAAGGAAGGTAAATATCAGAATCTCTTCTGTACGTCGCTGTCCAATTAAAAACGCCGTTGAATCTGGCGTCGTTGTGGCAATTCTTGCTGTACGGATCTTGACTGAGTAGAATCCACACTTGATCACTGCGTCGATAAACCGGAAGTTCGGACTATCGAACAAGGAACGTGAATATTTATTAGGTTGTTGTGGTGAAACAAAACGACGTCTGCTGACTTTAGGTCCGACTTGTTATGTCTGAGTTCACAATTCGAAACCGGGCATTTTAGGAACGCCCTATTACCAATGTAAGTGCCCCACGTTTTATGTCCAAACCATTGAGTCCACAGTAAAATCTGTAAGGTTTTATCTACGTTGCGTTTGATATCCGGATAAACACGGACGAATGCGCTACGATTCCGGACTCTATAATCAAAGGAAGGTTTAGGAAAATTGATTTTCTTCATCAATAAAGACAATATCACTGCCAAGAACAGTTTAATTAAAAACTTCAACAATCGGGTACACCTGCAACTACCCCAACTTGTGTGTACACATGAATAGAAATTTTCCTCATTGTAAATCGCGTGGCGTTTCCATTCTTCATTCCATCATAGTCCAAAAGGTTTTCATATCCAAACAAGGGACACAAGACGTTTCATTTTACAAAATTTCGCAGAGAATCTTAAATTTCCCTCATTGCACACCGCATGGCATTGCGAATTTGCATTCATTGTTCACTAAATAAACTGTAGAATGCGAAACGTGATTTAATCGAAAAGTCCTTTTTATTGATACGACAGAACTTCAACAAGGCATATAGCTTATTCGTATATGAACAAAGAATTGTGGGGATCCTCAGAGTCGACCG